CCCGGCCGGCGTGGGGGTAGCTCCCGGCGCCCGCGTCCTCCCGGCGAGCAGAGCGCCGCCACCCCGCGGCCCCCACTTGCCGCCCGCGGAGGGACGGCTCCGGGGAGGCCCCCTCGCTGCCCGGCGTACCTGGCTCTCGGCTGCGGGGATGCCAGACTCGAGCTCGCACAGCGCGCGGAAGTTGTGCAGCTCGAAGTCGGCGTCGACCTGGAGGGAAAAGGTCACCTCGGAGAGGTCCCTCCGCACACAGTACACTGTGAGCAGCATGGCCCGGACCCGACCCGGCTCGGCTCGGCTGGGCCCGGCCTGGGCGCGGGGCGGCGGGGAGACGGCACGGCCTGGCGGGTGCTGCGGGCGAACGGCGCGGGCTGCCCGCTCGCTCCTTCGCTCCCTCACACACGCTCAGTGACTCACTGCCTCCCGCCCTCGCGAGCACGGCCGCCGCCACCCGCCCGCGAGTCCGTCTGCCTGTTTGCCGGCCTGCCTCCCACCGCTGCCGCCAAGCGCGCCGGCCGGCCGGCGCCCCGCCCCGCCGTAACGCACCTGCCGTAAAGCTCGTCGGTTCTCCCCGCCTTCGCGACGCAGCGGGAGGCGGGGTCGGAGAGGGAAGGTGGGAAGTCGCGAGAGGATTGGCGCGGGACGGGTGGGAAGAGGGCGGGGACGGGAGCAGAGCGAGAGCTGGAAAAGGGGAGCCGGGTGGGGAGAAAGAAAATTCTGCTGTAGCAATGGGTTGACTTAGTAACTGAACCCTGTGGAGTGCTCCAGACTCTCAACAGGCATTTATCAAGCGCCTAGCATGTGTTGGGGTAACAAATGACCTCAGCTCTATCTAGTACGCCTGTAATCCCAGCACTGGAGAGACAGAGGCAGGAGGATCATTGGGAGTTCGAGACCAGCCTGGGCTACAGACTGAGTTTGAAGGCTAGCCTGAGCTGCATAGCGAGACCCTGTCTGAAGAAGACAATAAATAGGGACGGCCAAATAGCTCAGTGGATTAAAGCGCCTGCAAACAGGCGCAGGGGCCGAGGGCCCTCCCCCGGGGCGCGGGATGCTGAGATGGCAATTGAGACTGAGCATGGTGGCGCACCTATAATCCCAGCTCTTGGGAGGCTATAAACGGGCACATCACTACGTCGGATCAAGTAGTGAGACCCTGAACACCCTATAGTCCCTTCCCCCCTCAAAAAAAAAAAAAAAAGCAAAGTTCTAAAACAACATCAAAATTGGGACTGGAAGTGCATTTGAAGAAGAGGGGGCCTCAAGATAAAGATCCGATGGCCAGGACTACATGCCTTTTTATGGTGAACAATAACTTGAGATTATATTATACAGAAATTAGTACTATCTGGTCCAGTTAAGTCCAGATAGGCATGGCTCAGGTCGGTGCTGAGAGTATTTGGACCCATCCCTAAAATGCCTTTGTTTTTCCCATATAGCCTTGCCACGTGACTCGTTTCCCCACTGGATCAATGTTAGTTAAGCAGCTACCCTTGTAGTCCTATAGCTCGACTATAATTGGACCCATGTTAGACCCACATAAGGACTTTTGCTGTATAAATTATCCCTGACAAAGAGCCTTGGCAGCAACCCACTTTAGAGACCCCTTTTGTCTCTCAGGAGCTGTCTCTCAATAAACCTTTCCTGGTCTTAACCTCCCTTGTCCTTGGAATGTGTTCTTCAATATTCGGGGGACACAAACTCAGCACGTCTGACATCTAGCTGACTGGGAGTTACATGTATCCTGTTTCATGGCGACCCTTTCTTGGCTGCACAACACAGCTGGCTCCAGCTCCTTCGCATCTCTCCCGCTGGCCTCTGCCTGAGTTCCGCACCTCCTGTCTCCTTCCCAGCTGCCTGGCTTGCTCAGCTCCTCGCAGGCTCCACTGCCCCTCCTTATCCATCAATTCCTTTCTATTCCAATTTGTTGTTGCCCAACCCTCGCAACCCCAGCATCTAACACAGTTGCCTGTTAATGGACATCGCTGAGGTTCTACTCGATTATCTACTACTTTAGTAGTCTGTTTAAGGCCACATAACTGATGAGTGATAGAGACCCAGACACAAGGATAAATAAGTGAAATGAAACTAAAAGATGAATGAAAAATGGAAAAGGGATTAACGTCTCTCCATTTGCTCCCCCTCCTCTCTTCTTGGGCCCTTCTTCTAGTGTACCCATCAGGAAGAGACCAACTACTGATGCAGGTGAAGTAACTAGGTTCTGGTGGCAGCAAAGAATTTCCCGCTGATGGCTTACAAAGACAGAGAGAGAAGAAGCGGGAGACTGAGCAGAGTAGCTGTATCAGCAACAAGTAACACCCTGAATGCTGTGGAAAGGAGAAGGGATATGAAACAACACTGAAAGAGCTTTTCAAAGTGGAGCCAGGAGTCACGAGGTCAGTGTGGGGGCGGTGGTGCACGCCTGTAATCCCAGCAGTTGGGAGGCTGAGGCAGGAGGATCTCTGCAAGTTCAAGGCCAGCCTGGGCTACATGGCAAGAACCTGTCTCGAACAATCAGAGTGGAAATAGGAAACCATCACAGCAGAATGACTCACACTCTACTTGTCTGACTAGGGATGTGAACTTTGGTCACTTTCACTCTTTGACTGCAGGCATGACAAACAAATGACACTGTGTTCACAGACTGGGTGCTATCAAGAGATTATAGGTTGGGCTCTGTGGTGCACAGCAGTAATCCCAGCTACTCAGGAGGCTGGAGCAGGAGGATTAGGGCAGCAGACAACCTTCTTTTCATTTTGAAATTCCGTTTTCTTTCTTTCTTTTTTTTGTTGGAACCGGGGATTGAACTCAGGCCCTTGCACTTGCCAGGGAAGCGCTTATTCCACCTAGCCATCTCCCCAGCCCCTACCGAGCCATCTCCCCGACCCCTTTGAGATTCAGTCTTACACAGCTGGCAAACTCATGATCCTCCTGGTTCAGCCCCCCGAATCTTCTATCTTCTATTGGTCACGTAGCCCCTATCATAAAGCATCTATTCTTGAATTTCAATAGAATTTTTCTTTTCTTTCTTCCTTTTTTTTGGGGGGTGCAGAACTGGGGATTGAACTCAGGCCCTTCACTTATTCTACTGAGCTATCTCCCCGGCCCAGAATTTTTCTAAAAAGGAGTTTTTATTGCTTTGCACTACTTTCCCATTTGCGTTCCCACTTTCCCTGTTTGCTTGCTTGTTTGCTTTTCATTTCTGTATTTGGTTCAGGGTCTCACTATGCAGCTCATAGTGATCCTCCTGTTTTCAGCCTCCTCCGAGGCTGGGATTCCAGGTGTGCGCCACCAGGCCCAGACTTGTTCGACGCTTCAGCATGCCCCGGGAGCAGGGCTCACGCAGCATGCAGGATGGGGGATCGAATCCTGGTCCCTGCGCTTGTCTTGCCTTCTTTATTTGGAAGAAAACTGACTCACAGCAGTGTCTTCTGAGTGGTAATTCCTCAGACTCCACAGAAAACCCAGTACTTGTGTAGTTTTTTAGTCTGGATAAATTAACATGCTGGCTTACACAAATAAACGTTTATTTTCTAATCAAATGGGCACCTTGTAAGTTCCATTCAATGTACAAAAAAACAAAACAAAACAAAACAAAACAAAAAAACCAGACGGGCACCTCACGATAATAGCTGCATTGGCGCAGTGACTCCATGACATCAGGGCCAATACTTTCTGCAGTTCTTTCTGGCCTGAGGCCTGCAGCACGGCTGGCTGGCTGCCTCTACTTCCTGGCAGCACTCCGTTGTTCAAGACGGGAGCTTGCCTAGAAGTCCCTCAGCAGATTTCTGCTTACCTCTCCCTGGACAGACCTGTGTCACATTACCAGGAAGAGAGGCCAAGCGAGTGAGTGTGTTCGGCTTTCCCAGCTTCCATAATGGACACGTGTGTGTGTGCGCGCACGCGCGCGCACGCGCAAAGACTAGATATTAGACCTACATAGTAAGTAACTTCTACCAAGAGAAAGTTTGACATAAGTGTAATGAGCAGAGGAATGATACAGGATTGCTAGCGGGTGTCAGGGAATCCGCGGAGGCGGAGGTAGGAGAATAGGGCGTGGCAAAGTGGTTGGCAAGTGGGTGTGACCTGTCAATCATGGAGATTCAGCACGTGCTCCGTACATCTTCCCAGCTGGCCTAGCTACTACTTGCAGAGCGCTTCCCAGAGCCCCAGAGCGTGTCTCCCTTCTTTTCTTACCTTTAATACTCTTTTCTTTCCCCATAATTTTGAGAGACAAATAGCAATGAGACAGTTTCAAATCAAATTGGTAGGACACTTTCAATAATTAACACATTGTGTACTCTCTTCCTAGTGGTTAATTGCTGTACAAGATGCAGACATGATATCCTATTTACAAA